AGTATCCTTTAATCATGTTTACCACGAGGCCAACGATGTTGCAGATGAATTGTCAAGATTGAGGATAGATTTGCAAAATCTCATTGTAAGTTATAGTTTAATTGTGTAAATCCATGTGTATTGCATTATGTTCTTCATAAAAGTTTTGTGATATTACTTATCAAAAAAAAAAGAAAAAGTTAAGCGATATTGTTAAAAAAAAAAGACGTATTATGACTGCATTGAATGTGCTTAAAAACAAAATAAGTTTTTACGTGAGGTTAAACAGCTCATGATCATGCACTTATATTAGGCATTTTTTGAAAGGGAGAGATTTATATAAGGTCCCCTCCTTAATACTATAGAAAAAAGGTGCAACTCCAAAATTTGTGCAAAGGTGTAGTTCCAATTTCAAAAAATGATGACTTGAAGATTTATTATTTTAATAATAAAAAATTAAATGGTGATCTGTAAACTCCGGCTCCTTAACGATTAAACTTAGGAAACATAGATACAAGTTTCAGAAATATCAATATGCCTAAAATCTTAATAAAATTAAAGATCAAATTATCCTAATTTAATCTCAAAAAAAAATTAAAAAGAGTTAACGACATCAAATATTTACTTGTTAATTTATTACATGCTATTGTCACGTGCGATGTACAAGGTCAAGCTAAGGAATTATGTGAAAATAACTTTAAGTTAATATTTAATGGGTGTAGTTTGTGTGAAAATAACTTTAAGTTAATATTTAATGGGTGTGGTTTGTATAAGGTTGCAAACTTAAACAATCCAATTAAAGTGCACCTCTAAATTTTATCATAAATATAATTTAGATATAAAACATTCTTAAGATGGCTTGAGAAACTATTTTCATCTCTAATTATAAAATTTTAAAGTTCAAATCAAGTAGATCAATAAACACATGAAAATCTTAAAAAATAGACGGTCCAGATAAAGTGTTGCAAGAGACAGTATTTTGCTGGAATATGGAAGATGCTGCAAATAAGCTAAGGTGTTTTTTTTATAGATATTGTGTTTAAACAATTGATGTGTTAAGAAGAAGAGTTAATATTCTTACCATTATGTGTATCTTGTGTCAAGAGAATGAACAAACTATAGATCATCTATTTCTGGAGTGTAAATATATATGGGAATAGGTACGAAATAAATTGGATACGTTGGGAGTTACCGAATGTTCCTATTGAAGGCAAAACTTAGTCGAAAATGAGAGCAAATAAAACAAAATCAAGCTCCTTATTGCAAGGATTGAAATTAGCAAAGAAGATCGTAAAAAGAGACTCGATGAATGTAACTAAAATGGTGCAATAAGGAGACACAGGTTTCTTGGTCAATGAAATTGTTATGGTATGAAATAATGGACTTTAGCATGGTTTTGAAGTGAAGTTCGTACATGTGTACATGGAGAAATTTCTTTCGCAGTTAATCTAGTAAAGGAAGGTGTTCACACACAAAGATACCATCATTAAAGTCTATTTTTCAATTAATTGGGGTCCATTTATGAATAAGATATTTTGACCTATAAATGAGATATTTTGACCCATAAACCAGTAAAGAGTTTTAGCCCTTGCGCCACGTTTAAAATTTAAACATTCAAGTTAGACTAGCTTAATCGAATCGATGTCCCTTAGTATTCACGCTTGAGGCTAGACGGTGGTGGCTCACTTTTAACAGCCCTAAAGGTAAGGGCCCTATTTTTATTGAATCATAAAGGTAAGGCCTTATCTATGTGGAACCGTATAAATAAAGGTAAAATTCTTATTAAATCATTCCAATCAAATAATAATAATAAATAAATAAAATAATAGTAATAAAATGCCTTTCTTAAAATCATTCATTCATTCATTCCAGCCGCCCCATACATAAGCAGAACCTGCTCAGACCATCGCCTTCAACCCATCCTGGAGCTTTGAATGCATGAAGGCGAGACACGTCCTTTCGTGGTGATTGGACATTGCACCACCTCGTGGGACCCGCTAAGATGCGGCCACATGCCCCTTATTACACGGTACACAAACACGTATTTATTAGTCACAACTCTCCCGTAAAAAATTTATGATTTCATTGAGCCCACGAAGTAACTGCTTATTGGTTGCCGTAAGTTTTTCACATTAATTTAATCATTTCTCACATTAGTTTAATTAATGCGCGTTGTGCACTTTTAATAAAAGAACATTGAACCGCGTTTCCTTTTGGGAAGCCCTAAATTACGCTTTTCGTTTTTTCTCGCTCGTCTCTCTTTGCGCCTAGGGTTAAGCCCAGTATTTCAATGAGTTTCGGTTTGGCCGAAACTTTGGCATTTCTATCCAAAATGTTAGATATTTTAGTATTGGTTTTTTTTTTTTTCAGGATATTGGCTGAAAACTTTACTTTAAAAAAGAGGATCTTAAACTAATTAGAACCCAACTTAAACGTTCTGAATGTTAGTATCTTTTAGTAGTTTTTTTCAATAATTTATTTATCACAAAATGAATTTTTTGTATACTCCAACAAGGTCCATCAGGAGTATATACTATCTATTTACTCCCTCAAGTAAAAAAGTTGTTTGAAAGAATTCTTTTATGGGTTTTATTAGCGTACTTCTACATATATGGAGTATTTATTTGATGTACGCAATATTTATCACCGACACCCTTAATTTGTAATATAAATTTCGTTTAAGAAAGGCATTTTTAGTTACTAGAAAGGGTATAATAAATATTTCTATAAAAAACTAGTAGCATTGATTCATATTTAAAAAATATCTAATACCAATGTGGGTTATATCAACCTCATGTGGCTGTTGTTATTCTCCACTGCAGTTAATAAGTGACATTCTTTCTATTAAAAAATTTTACTTTTCTTCTCATTAATTATCTAAAATACATCTAGAAAAAAATTTACTATATTGAGAGTAGTATTATTTATTGCTCAAAAATATTGAATATATTAAAGAAATGCTCCACATGTAAGAGTACCTTAACAAACCCTTCTTTTTTTCTATAAATTTTAGGATCCACTTAAGAATTATGGGATGATTATTTAATAAAAAGAATAGAATTTGAGTTTTTTAACACTTCTAGCTCTTCAAAAATTACACAATCTACATTCAATTTTAGGAGGTTATTATTTTCAAGCTCTTAAAGATTACGTATCAAATTTTCTTTTTGTAAAGTTCGTGCCAGTTTGAATGCAATACATCCCCAAAATATGTGGTTGTAAAATACTCTAATATAGAGTTTCACCCAAGAGATGAAATGGACAGTATGCTCCTATCGGAACAGAAAATCACCTTAGACATGCACGGTCATACCGTCCAAAACGATTGTATTATGCAGCTACTTATTTTTGTAATTAGAAGGTCGCAATCATTTCTAACAATTAGAAGTCAAATTGGATAGCTTATAGTGTTATAAAGTTCGAAATTTTTAATTTATTTGGACTTTTAAGTTTAATCCATAACACTCCAACAAGTTGGATTTAAAAATATGATCAACAAGAGTGGTTGTGACTTTTTCGTATCAAAATAAAAAAATGGCTTTATATAAATTTCTTTACCGAAATTGATTATTTTCAAATATTTTTCAAAAAAAATGAAGTACCCGACATAACTAACTATTGCACCAAAAAACCCCAAATTAAGGACCTTTGGGGATTCGAAGGTGACAAGCGAGCTACGATACGTTCAATCTTATGACAAAGACTCGTCATATTTTACGGTAAAAGTTAATAAAAAGAGTTTAGATTAATTTTTTAAAAAAGAAGATAGGGTACTGTAGATAAATAAACCAGGCAAGCGCACGGTTCCAATTAGATTCCCACACGTGCACCTCGACTGTTTTGTGACATGGACTTGCTCACGTCTCGTTACACGTGCAAAGTATTCAGCGCGCCACGTGTGACGAGCAGATTAAGTGTACCGGCCACGTGTTCCAACAACACTCGATTCTTCGAGGCTCGAGTCGACCAAATAGAATCGCCGACAATAGTGGGATATAAAAGTACTCTGTTTTAGGTCGGTAAGATATAAGACATATCAACGGTTGCTCGGTGGCCACGTCACCTTTTGCCATTGTCTTTTTCTTTGTAAGCAGGCTTTGTCGTCTTTTGAGCCCCTCACTTCCCCTTTTTTAACAATGGAAGTAATGGGAAGTAGACATAAGTGGCTATGATTTTTCCCCATGTTTTGAATTTTTTATTTAAAACTGTTTTGTTGTTTTTCAGAGCGAGCATACTGTGTTCCCTCGGGAGCACAGTTGACTTTTGCTCCCTATGCTTGAAGACCTACTTGAGAGATTTTTCAATAAGAAATTTTGAAAACCACATAAGAATCATTAAATTGGATGGTCTGTGTTCAACCTAAACATCTTCTTTTTTTTTTTTTTTTAAACTGTATAGATGGTGCAATTAGGAGAATTTTTTTTTTATAGAGGTTAATTTATGGGCCGAAGAGGTTACATCCACAAAATTAGGGGTCTTAAAAATTTTTTTAGCTTGAGTTTTATATGAGGGAGTAAATGGTCAATATACTCATGTGGGAGCATAAATTTTTTTATTTTTTTGGGTATAATACCAAGTTGATGTTGTAAAGTACACCGCACCTTCAAATAGTATTGAGAAATGTAGTTTTAATCTTCGAAATATTTGTAATAGCTTTAAAATATATTTTTATCTTTAATTATAAAATTTTAAATTTAAAAAATAGTGCAGATCAAGTGGATCTATAAAAACTTGAAAATCTTGTAAATTGTTCATTTAAAAAATATATTATAAAATATACTATTTTTAAAATTTAAAATTCATTTTTTTTTGATGTCGATGTATATTGATGTCGAGATGATCAATTTCAAAAAATTTACGTAGCAAAACGACCTCCTCGTGAAATTTTTGTGAAATTTTCAGGGTGTACTCTAATTTGATTGTTTAAAACCTCGGCTTTATATAATTTTTTTCTTTTCCGCAACTTCTCCAATAAACCCTCCCTCTCTCTCTCTCTCTTTTATTTAGTGCTGCACAACTTCACTCTTGTCTACCCCCTTCCTCTCTCTCTACAACTTAACCATTGAGCCTCCTTCCTCTCTCTCTCTCTCTCTCTAAAATTTGTGGCTTTGTCCAGGGACCTGGTCTGTCCTACGTGGTGGAGTTTTTGTTCATATATTGGCTCTCTCTCCCTCTAGGAATAGAAAGTTTCGTGAGAGCCTGCCTTTCTCACAATGGATTTTATCCTTTTATTAACATCCTCAAGGTGCTTTCCACCTCTTGGCAATGGCGTCCCCCTATGAACTCCCTCCCTCCCATTTCCTCCCATCTTCCTCAAATTTCCACTCCTTATTGCTGCAAAATTAACCCTAGGTCCCATGTCCACTACATCCTCTGGTATGCTGAATCAACTTAGGCTCACTGGTAGAGAGGAGGAACCCTATGATGAGAGTGAAGTTAGGGACATCCATGCCTTGAGCCCTACAGCTAGAACTCCAGGCTCTGTGAGAACGAGTAGAGAGACTTGGGACACAGTCAGTGGGCAATTATCATCTGGATTAAGTGAGGTTTCAATTGAGAATTTCACTAGCATGAGTAGAGAATTCAATGCTCTGGTGATTGCTGGCTCTGACTCTAGATCAAATGAAGGTGAGAATCAGATCACCAATTTACCGAGAATTGGCGAGGATAGAGAGGAGGTGGACGCTTTGGCGATCGTTCCCGATACAGTCCGCATCGAGCCGCCTCCTCCCAGGCCACAAACTCTGCAGAGGGTGAAGAAAGAGGAGCTGGAGACCAAGATCAATGCATGGCAGACCGCGAAGATCTCGAAGGTCAACAATAGGTTCAAGAGAGAGGAAGCCATCATCAGTGGTTGGGAGAGTGAAGAGATCCACAAGGCCAACTCCAAGATGAAGAAAGTCGAGGTAGGTGACCCTTTCAGCCCCATATGCACAAATACATGTGCTTCTACTTAAATCATGATGAAAAAAATAGTAGGGACCTTCTTGTTTCTCTTAATTCTGCAGCCCTTAATCCTAATCACCATTGCAATGAAATTCATTATTGTAAATCAGCTTTTTTATGTGTAATCTGATAGTCATTGATGTAGTGATTTCTATCTTTCCATTATCATGTTACTAGTTTCTTGTTGAATGTTAGGATGTGAAAATTCAGCAACTGATTGATGTTTTATGATCAAAGAGGAAATTGGAGGAACGGAGAGCCAAGGCATATGAGCGAATGCAGAACGATATCGCTCGGGCTCACCGAAAATCAGAGGAGAAGAGAGCGTCTGCAGAGGCCAAGAGAGGGACCAGGACAACCAAGATCCTTGAATTGGCAAACCTCATGAGAGCTGTGGGCAAGTTTCCTCCCAAAATCTCATTCTTCTGATCATATGCTCTCTCTGTCTCTCTCTCCATGGGTAGGTTTTGTTGGATGTACATGAAAGTAATACGCGGTGTGACGATGTTTTAAAGATCAGGTAGGTGGGTGTATTTCATTGTCTTCCATTCAAGGGAGTTCTACCAAACTTTGAAAGACTGGTCAGTACTGGTTTGCTGAGTTATGTTAAGAAGGAAAATCCTAAATATTTGAAGGAGTCTACATAAATGATTTGTTCGAAACCTTCACTTAGTCTCGAGTCTTGACGGTATCCTCTAATACCATTTTTGGGCCATATTTCGACGACTGCCTTATCATTTTAATTTTTATTTCTGACATTTCCTTCTCAATATCTACTGATCAAATAAATGGATGGTGGAGACGTGGGATATGATGATACTCTTTTTGGGGTACCAAAACAGCAAAAGTCCTACCGAATTGGAATTTCCATGCTAGGAATTAGCATGATTGACTAGTTAGCAGTGTTTGCAAACTCGGCCGGTCCAACTCGGAACACCCGGTCAAACAGGAACGGCTAATTTGGTTTTGGCCGGTTCTGGTAGTCTAGCCTAGTATTTTCAAAGAAATTTATATAGAATCTCAAAAATTAAGGGATTTGTTTATATTCGACTGTTTTTTATCGTTTTGACGAAGATTGGAAAGTGTTTTGATTATGCATACTTATTTTTATATTTTATATTTTAAAAAAAATTTTAAAATATCTCGAAGCACAAATCTATTTTTTAAAAGTTTATTTATTTTTATTAATTTTCAACTTTATTTAGATGTCATTTGTTTAACCATGTTCTAAATATTCATTTTTTTTAAAAAAAAATTATAATTTTTTATTTTTTAATACTTTTTGAACGGCGGAGGCCGGTTTCCTGGTTCAATTTTTCTAACACTTCTAGTTAGATATAACTTTTCTTACTTGGAAAGCACCTTATTACGAGTGATGAATTAGTAAGCACCGGAGAGAAATTATCCATTTTTGGGTTGGGAATTTAGTTTTGGAGGAAACCTATTTTTATTCATTCTTTTGTTATTTCTATTTTGGGTTTTGCCATTTTGCACGGGACATCTTTTAGAATTATCCATTTTGCACATCATCCATTATTCTAAAAAGAATGAGTAATTTCACGGGAGAATTACATGATACCCCCATGTAAACGATGCTCCACGCCCTAGTAAAATATTACTCTCACCATTCAGCATACCACCCTTCTCTTTCTCATCTGCCCCTCCAAGTGAGTTTACAGTGGCATTCACTACAAAAATGCACAAAAAATGCCCCCTCTTAATTAATGGAAAAAGTTTATAATGTTTAATGGAATAAGGTAGACAATTTATATTGTTTAATTAAAGTTCACCTCAAAAATCCATTAGAAGAGGACTTTTGATGTTGAAAACCATAATTGACCATCTCAGCGTCGAGATATATAGGCATGGAAAAAATAATAATTAAATCCCAAAACTGGTACATCTAGCAACACATTATATGGACCGTCTATTTTTCAATATTTTTATATATTTATATATCTTTTTGATTTGAATTATTTTTGGAGTTTAAAATTTTATAATTAAAAAAAATTAGATTATTGGGTCATCCTAAAAATTTAGTACTAAAATTACACCTTATGACAAAATTTGAAGGTGCGCCATTCTTCAATTGTTTAAAATAGCAACTTTATGCAAATCTTTTAAGTTGTTAATGGTGGCACAGTTCTTTTCTTTTTTTTTTCTTTTTTTTTTTTGTTGATGGTGGCAACCTTAAGAGGAGACCCTGCTCAAAACTGTCCTATAAAAGACAATAATATAAGAGTAGAAACCCAAGTTTAATTTTGTCTATGTCCAAAGAGTCGGAGGGAATCGCCTTAGATTCCTTATCTAATCTACAAATACCAATGCTTGAAAAATCGGCCGAGTTTCCCGGCCTTGGGCCCTTGCCGAGCCCAAGTTTCCTTGAGTTGGGTAACCAACTCAAGAATATTAAAATAAATTCCAAAAAAAATAAAAAATAATAATTTATTTGGTATATATTTTTTTTATGTTTTTTATCATTTTGGCAAAGATCGGAATGTGTTTTGGTTATAAAAACTTGTTTTTACATTTTTTTTCATCTTTTTTGGATTATTTCAAAAATAACTTCAGTCACAAGTTGATTTTTCAAAATCTATATTTTTACTACTTTTTTAACATCATTTTGAATTGTTTTACTTAATCTTACTTTAAACATACATTTCTTGTTTTTTGGATTTTTTATAGCTTTTATAAATTTTTGACCTTTTTTTTGCTGCTACAGTACTTGGCACTAATCAAGCCGAGTAATAGATTCGGACCAGGACCGATTACTCGGTCCGAGTCACAACTTTTATTTATTTTTGGGTACTTTCTTACACTGAAAAATGCACATCATAAGATTGGGTTTTTGATTCCTATCAAACTTACAGAAGACAACCGAGCTCTAATTGGGTTTGTGCCTAATGTCGATCAATAGATTTCTTGAAGCTATAACATTTGTTCGTATTGGAATTTCATATGGTCCAATTGCTATTGTTCCTTTTCTATTTGCCTTTGTAGGTATTGAAAAATCTCTGACTAGATCACAAGAATAGCTATATGTTGCTTTTCTCTATCATTTTTCCATTAGCTCCTCTTCTCTGACAAGAGAGAGAGTAGAAAGTAGGGGGGACAGACAAAAAAACTCTTCCAATTTGGGGCCTAGACACAAGAGGGAATTTTGGTCTTAAATGCCACTTTAAGGTCATATGGGGGGCTGATAAGTAAAATGATCACGATGATGTATTCAGTGAGAGTACTTTTTGAGTTGGAGGCTTATGTTGACGGTCTTTTAGGAGAGGGGAGTGTGTAATTTTTCATAACTTCAAAAGAAAAATTGATTTTAAGTTATTGATGAGCTATATCCACTATCTACCAAATCCATGGTTTTAATTCACTGAAAATGTTATCTAAAAATTTTCAGATCATCTTTAGTTACCTCCAAAATCAAATTTCTCTAAGGAAAAGCAGAGCTCAAAAGATGCTTTTAATCAATTCATCCTAAAAATATATATTTTATCCTGCCCATTCAGAGACGATCGATCTAGGGTTTTGGAAGATCCAAAGCATTTTTTTTTCTTTTTTTGGAATAGAACTCTAAGTTTTTAAGGCCCACACCAGTGTAGGAAAAATCCGGAGGTTCAAATTCTAACTGCTCGGTTAAATCGGAATCGACCATTGGCTGGTTTCAGCTTTGGTGAACCGCCCGGGGCATTTAAAAAAAATTAAAAAATTATATAAAATCCCGAAAAATAAAATATATTGTTTGGAATGTATTTTTAAATATTTTTTTTATCATTTTGACAAAGATTTGAAAATGTTATAGCATTTTGTCTTTTTTAAAAAAACTCAAAAATACCCTTGGGCACAAATCGATTATGTAAAATTTATTTTTTCAATAATTTTCAACTTTATTTGGATGTGTTTTGTTTAATCATTTTTTAAATACATTTTTTATATTTTATTAGATTTTATTTTGCATTTTTTTTAAACACTTTTTTGACTGCCCGGGATTTACCTTGTCAGCCCGGTTGAATCGATCGATTTACTGGTTACATTGATTGAACCGCTTCCAAAAGCTTCCATCCCTATGTTCGGTTAACCGTCCCGGTTCGATTTTTCCTACATTGGCCCACACCAAGTGGAAGGAGAGATGTATGTAGTAAAGAGAGAGGGGAGAGGCGAGAAGGTGGAGAGAGAAATAAAGAGAGGGAGTAAGAGAGAAGAGGATAAGAGAGAGAAGAGGAAAGAGAAAGATAGAGATGGGGAGAGAGAAAGAGAGCGGGAGAGGAGGTGGGGAGAGAGAGTGGGGGAAAGAGAGGCAAAGTCTCATTTTTACCTCTGTCATATTCTCTAGAAACTCATCTCTCATTTTTACCTTCACAAACTTCAAAATATCATATTTGCCTCCATCACACACAATAAGACCCCAAACCCTCTTCACATTCTTATTAGAAAAATGTAAGACTAGAATGTTAAAGAGTTGTCAAATAGAGGATGTGGCAAGAAACCATATGAGAAACCCATTTCTTTCCTACCCTCATATTCCCCCCAAAAGTCTAATCTCATTTTTGCTGCCTTCACTTACAATCTATAAAATCTAGTCGCCATACTTGCATCCTATCATACTCTCTCTAAAAGCTCAAATCGCACTTTTGCACCTATTTACACTATGAAAACCCCAATGATTTAGAGAGAATGTGTGAGAAGATGAACATTGGGTTTCAAATGGGGATGTGAGGAAGAAATTATAGGGAAAAATGAATAGAGACGAGAAAGTTTAATATGTTTGTAAGAAAAGTAAGAGGGACAATCTCATGAGAACCCATCTTTTTTAAAAAAAAAAAACTTCTTTTGCTTAGAAAACCATTAAAAAAACCATAAGCCAATATAACTAGTAATAAAAAAAAACAACTGAAAAATACTCCCATGGACAAATCAATTCTTTACCCCTAGAGGTCCGGTTTCTAAAAAGAAATAAGGATTTTCACTTGAAAGGCCCTAACAAAATCATACACCAATACAACGAATAGGCAAAACAACAACTGAAAGACACTTTCATTTGTAAATAAGTATATTTATCTCGATATAAAAGCTGGGAGTGCCAAAGTCAAACAAAGGGATAAACTCTTAAAAAAAAACTAACTAATAGCCAAAAAAACAATGAAATTCTTAGAAGGCTAATATCTCAAAAAGCCCTAAAAAATTCCATGCTCCAATATAACAAATAGCAAAAAACAATGAACTTCTTACGAGACTAATCTCTTAAAAAGCCCTAAAAAAACCATGCAATTGTAAAAAACCAATGACTTTTTTACAAGGCTAGTCTCTTAAAAATCCTTAGAAAAACCATTCACCAATATAACTAATAGCAAAAAACTAATGAAATACTTCAAAAGCTTATATATCCTAACCCCATGCCACATACAATGCTAGGCTGCAACAGAAACTCTTGGTAATTAATTTGCTCCTCATGAATATAGATTCCATAAGCCTTATCTTTGTTTTTAAAAATAATAAAAACGTTTTTCAGTCAAATCTGAATTTACATATTTTCATTTATACCCTAATCAGATCTGCAAGGGTTAAAAATATTTCATATAAGTAATGAGGCGGTGGCAATGTTGTTAAACTACAACGCATTCCAAACAAGCTTGAACCCCTGGTTTATTCAAGAGGCCATTGTGAAAAGG